TCCACCGCTCCTTTTTTCTCGCTGCAAAACAAACCACTCTGCCCGTTTTTAACCTTAAACCGATGTTTTGTTCCTCATCTTAACAAGCTCCTGTCTCCCTTTGTTTTTTTTCTGTTTAGGACAGCTTGCGTACTATAATTTCCTCAACATGTATAGGAAAATCATCTCCGTGACTTCATTTTTTAATGTACCTGCTCAACTTACCACTACGTTTTGGTTGTATTATAGTCCCGTTCCTCCTGACATTAAAACATAGAGCAATCATATTCAACTCTACTCTGCAAATTGTATAAGAATAAAAGTTAGAATTAACAATTTATTTTGTACAACAGTGGAATTTTCTGTCATGGATAATGTGCTTTGAGTCACCATGTTCTCTAGAAGCATCAGCAAAAGAGCCAGGAAAACACTCATTTTCGCCTTGAGTATGTGAATGGGGTTTATTTTGTCCTGTGCCTTATGTGGAAAGGAACTTTTATTTTCACTTTTTGTTTCTCTTCTGGTGGAAGCATGTGCAGGAGACATACCATCCATTCCCGATCATTTTAAAATACTGAACTCTTTTGTGGTTGCTTTCTGTAATTGTTGGTGTAATGCATCGAGGACAAAGGGTGGTGCAAAAAAAATACTGCATTTAATCTGCTCTGTCTCCTTTTTGGTGATCTACCCATTCGGAACTGTTCCTGCTGCCATTTTTTTTCCTCACTCGCAGCTCTTTCCTTTTGCCTGCATGCTGCTTTTATTTGCTTTCCTTCATGGTGTGATGTGTTAATTACAAGGACGGCAACGTGGTATGTTTGCCAAAAAATTTAATACAAAGCACTGATTTAGCTTTCAAGGTAAAATGTTGACGATACCTACTAATTTCCCTCTAGCCAATGTCAGTTCACTAGTATATCTTCTCTCCTCCTGCATAGCCATTGGGTTTTATGATATGGAAGAGTTATTTGCATGCACTAGTTTTCTATGGAGGGTGATGTGGTTGTCTACTTTATGTGTATGAATATAACATGCGATTCCCAAACTGACAGCAGTTAACATGAACTTTTCAGTTCTGTCTCTCACTGTTAGCCGCTCCAACGAGATGTTCGGTAGCCTAGCAAGAGGCTGAGTGCAACTAGATTAAAAAAAGAAAAAAAGAAAAAAAAAAAAAAAGGAAGAAAAAAAAAGTCGGCAGTTTAATTTATTACCTCCCTGAAAACTTTTCCACTTTCCAGTGTTAGAAGCTCCGAGTCCTTCGTGCTGCGCTCAGCCTTGGCTCGCTCCCGGGGCACGGGCAGGCGGGCTGTGCCGCCGCGTCCCCGCCGGGCGCCCGCGCTCGTGCCCTGCGGTGACTTCGGGTGTGAAGTGAAAGGAAGGGGGTTAACGACTGCCAGCCCCAATTCTTGGGCTGCTCCCGCTGAGCTGGGTGTCCAGGCTGCAGGAGCAGCCGTGCGTTCACTTGCCTTGCCTTTAGATCACGGCGCAGGAGAGCTGCTCCAGCCAAGGACACAAAGATGCTCCAAACAGCCGCGGTCCCTGAAGCTGGACAAGCCTCGCGCCTCCCTCTTGTCCGCTTGGGTTTTGGACTTTCTCCAGCCAATAAAGTAGTAACTAACGCTGATTTAATTTTAATGAAATGACAGTGTTTTAACACGGAAATTCTAGTTTTTAAAACCGCTTCCCGTGTAGTAACTCGGCCGGCGTGTCTCCCTTTTCCCCGTGTCTCGGCATTTTGTCTCTGTGTGAGCCCTTCCCAGCCCTGTGGCTGGTGGCCAGGCGGGCCCGGGACCCCCCGTGGGCAGACGGCACAGGTCAGTCCCCCCCGCGCTGTGCCCGGTGGCCAGCACTGTAAATATAAATAGCATCCGGCTACCTTCTGGTTAAACCTGCACTTTTCAACATGATCAAAAAGGGAAAATGGAGAATAGACATCAATTATTTTTTTTTTTTGTATAATCTTTGTTTTAAACATGAGCTTTTTATTTGCTTCTGGGGGGCTTGGCTCCTTCTGCGTAAATCTGTCGGGGTCGTCCCTAGGCGCTGCGCTCGTGGTGCCCGGGCCAGGGGAGCGCAGCCCCCTCCCTACCCCCGCAGCACACGCAGACAGGTGTAGGTGGTCCTCTTCTATAAAAACATGAATTTTAACCATGTGGCTTGGTTTTGTTTTGTTTTGGGAGTGCAAGGCCCAGCTGAGGAGGAGTGAGCACCAAGAGTCAATTCTGATGCTAAAAAAAAGTGATAATAATCGTGTTGGAGGAATTTGCAGTACCTTTATTTCTGCCGGTAGCTAAATTTACCGCTCGCTAGCCAACTAACTGCTTCTGGCACCTGCGTGTGGAAACCCACCCGGCCCCGGGTGGGGATTGAAGCCGAAACCTGCCCGGACCCCCCCCGGAGCCCCTCGAAGCCCCCCTGGGCGCCTCCACCGCCGTTGCGCTGGATCCGGCCGTGCCAGCAGCCGCGGGCTCTCGCGTCCCCGGCCGGCAGCGGAACCCCCCCAGTGCTACCTTTTTGTCATGGCAAAAATGTAACTTAATTAAATTGGTAATGATGAACTAAACCCCGAGGTTGGGTCTATTGTATGAGCGCGTTCCCTGCTCTGGACGTGGCGTGGCCGGGGTGGCGCGGGGCCAGGTGAGAGCCGCGCTTCGTCCGGCCGGACTTGGATGGTGGAAAAAAAACAAAACAGCATCGACTTCAGGTCTAGGATTAATTCCCATGCCTACAATTTTTTACTTAATCTTTTAATATTTTTGCTACTCCACTCTGGCTTTTTATTTAAAACACATTCTTTTGTACCACTTAACTGTATCAAATTGTATAAAAGATCACTGTCCCATTCTTGGTCATACCAAGAGCAAATAAAAGCTTTTATAAACTTGCACTGGTTCCTTCCTGGGCCCCTGACCGGCGCCTTCCCCCCCCGCGTCCCCTGTGCTGGCTGCGCCCCCCCGGCCGCGTTTCCCCAACCCTTCAGAGCTGCTCCTTGCCGTAAGGAACCCAATTTTGTCACTGCCATTTCTTGGTTTTTCACGGAAAAAGCATCAGCCGCTTCTCAAGGCTGGGGACGGGCTGCGGGGGCTGTCCTGGGGGTGAGCCCCAAACTCCTCGTCGAGGCGGGGGGGGAGATTTTGGAAACCCATGGAATGGGGACAGCCTCACGGGGGGGTTTTCCACCTTGGGGGAGCCACGGGTGCTTCTCCGTGCTCCGTGTCACCACCGCCACCAACCCACGGCTCCTGCCCGCTGGCCGTGCTCATGGTCTAAAATTTTGGGTAGACCCACGTGGTGCCAAGAGTTGGACTCGATGATCCTCAGGGGTCCCTTCCAACTTGGGAATTCTGTGATTTTTTGGGATATTCTGTGATTTTATGGGATATTCTCTGATTTTATGGGATATTCTCTGATTTTATGATTCTTCGTCCTCACCAGCCCCATCTCTCGGGGCATGGATCAGCTCCGTGCCCCCCGAGCAGCGGGGAGCGGGTTCCCCAAGCCCCCTCCGTGCGCTTCGGGCCATGCCCAGCTTGGGGACGTCCCTGTCCCTGTCCCCATCCCCCTGGCACTGGGGGGGGTCTCGTTGCTCCCCACTGCCGTGCTGTTGGTACCCAGAGGGGTTTTGTGCTGCTGCTGCTGCCATCACAGCCGGGGGGGCCACAGCCTTGGGTGCCCCTCGGTGCCACCACCACGGTGCCACCCATGGGAGGTGGCAGCTCCCAGCCTGGTGCCAGCACCGGGCACCGACCGTGCTCGCTGCTCCTTTGGGTTCCCCATCCCAAATCCCTAAAGGTAAGGGCTGGGGGGGCACTGAGGTGCTGCAGGAGCCCCCCCTGCCCCATGTCGACCACGAGCACGTCCCCAACACCCGGGGACCTTCCCCCGGTGCCCCCCAGTTGGGGTGGCCTCGAGCCACCGCTCGGTGTCGGTGCCGTCCATGCGTGGCCAAGGGAGAGGGGCCCAGTGTGGGGGGGGGACACAGCACCGGGGGGGGCTCCTGTGGTTTTTTGGGGTGCTCTGGGACATCCCCAGCGGGACGCAGCACCCCAAGGAACTGGGGGTGCCCCATCCCTGGGGGGTGCCCAAGGCCAGGCTGGATGGGGATGGGGATGGGGGGGGGGGGTGCAGGGGTCGTGCCCATGGCAGGGGGGGACACTGGTAAGGGGGGGGGGGGATCTGAGGAGGACCCCACCAGCCCAAATCCCTCTGTGAGCCCCCCCCCTGCAGCTGCGGGGGAACCGGGAGGGGGCTGACCTGACCCCCCCCCCCAATAAATAAAATAAATAAATGAATAAATAAAAATAAAATAAATAAAATAATAAAATAAAATAAATAAAAAATAAATAAATAAATAAATAAATAAAATAAAGTAAATAAAATATATAAAATAAAATAATAAATAAAATAAATAATGAAATAAATAATAAATAAAATAAAATAAAATAAATAAAATAATAAATAAAATAAATAATGAAATAATAAATAAATAAAATAAAATAAAATAATAAAATAAAATAAAATAAATGAATGAATGAATGAATAAATAAATAATAGATAAATAAATGAATAAATAAACGAATAAATAAATCAATATCCGAGCCTGGAGCTCCCCCCGTTCCTCCCACACCCCCTCACCCAGCTCTGGGGGTGTGTGTGTGTATGGGGGGGGGGGGGCTTCACCCCTTCATAGCCCCCAAAATCCATTCACATACCCCAAATCCGAGGGGCGAGAGCCCCTGCCATATATAGGGGGGGGGTGAGAAATTACAGAGGAGGGGGGGGCTCCGCAGCCCCCCGGGGAAGCCCTCAGGGGCCGGCCAAAGGCTGAGCCCCGCCGCGGGGGCGGCTCCCGGCTTCTCCCCCCCCCACTTTTTTTTTTTTTTCTCCTTTTTTCTTTTTTTTTTTCCCCGCCGTCGCCGCCGATGGAGCCCGGCGCTGCCTCCGCCCCCCCCCCGACCCCCTCACTCCGTGTCCCGGGGGCTCGGTGAGGTCGAGGGGGGGGGGGGGGGTTTTGGGGGGGGGGGGGCGATGCGGGGGCCATGGAGCAGCTGGCGGCGGGGCTGGCCCGGCTCCGCTGGAGCCCCTCGGCGCTGCCCCTCGATGCCATCGTCAGCAAGTGCCGGCTGCCCACGCTCGTCTGCCTGGGGCAGGGTGAGGGTTATGGGGGGGGTTTTTTGGGGGGGTGGGGGGGCGGGGGGGTGGGATATGGGGTGGGGGGGGTGGGGGTGAAAAGGGGGTGGGGGGGTGGGGGGGTAAGGGGGGGGTGGGGTGGGGATGGGGGAAGAGGGGTTTGGGGTGAGGGGTGGGGGGGGGGGTTATTGGGGGGTGGGGGGGTGAGGGGGGGGGGTAGGGGATGGGGATGGGGTTGGAGGGATGGGGGCAGAGGGCTGGGGATGGGGACAGGGGGGTGCAGGGGATGGGGACATTGGGATGGGAACAGGGGCAGAGGGATGGGACAGGGATGGGGACAGAGGGATGGGGATGGGGACAGGGGGGTGCAGGGGATGGGGGCAGAGGGATGGGGGACAAGGGGCTGGGGGGGGATAGGGGATGGGGACAGGGATGGGGACGAAGGGACAGGGACGGAGGGATGGGGACATTGGGATGGGAACAGGGGCAGAGGGATGGGGATGGGGACAGGGGGACAGGGACAGGAGCCAGGGGGGAGCAGGGGATGGGAGCAGAGGGATGGGGACGGGGGGAGCAGGGGATGGGGTCAGGGATGGGGATGGGGGTAGAGGGATGGGGGATGAGGGGCTGGGGGGGGGATAGGGGATGGGGACGGGGATGGGGACGAAGGGACAGGGATGGGGACAGAAGGACAGGGACAGAGGGACTGGGGATGGAGCTGGAGGGGCTGGGGGGGGTCCCAACAGTGCCACCCCCATTGCCCTGGGAACTGTTGCTGAGATTTTGGGATGGAGGCGCCCGGCACGGCCACGGGACCCCCCCCCCTCCTGCACCCCAAATGCTCAGGGATGGAGGCAGCAGAGCCCCTCACCCCCCCCCCCCCCCCCCCAAAATCCATCCCTGGTGGTCCCCAGCCATGGAGCAGGGCTCAGCCCTGGGCCCCCCCCCTTTTTTTCCCTGGGGTGCTGGCGATGGCCTCAGCTCCAGGTCACATTTTGGGATGCTTTCCTCACCCCCCCCCCCGGTCTGGCCCCATTATCCTACAAGTTGGGGAGGGGGCTCTAAAGGGTGGGGGTGTCCAGGGGGTCTCTGGGGGTCTCTGGGGGTGCCCAGGGGGTTCGGGGGGGGCAGCTTCAGGTCAGTGCCTGGGGATGTGTGGGATCAAGGAGCTGAAAATGAGCTGGGGGGGGGTCTGGGTGTGCTGACCCCAACCAGGGACAGGGATGGGGACAGGGACACGGATGGGGCACATCCAGGAGCACCCAACCCTATTACACAGTATCGGGGCCAAGCAGGGTATTTGGGGTCAGGCTGAGCCGCCCCGGAGCAGGACGCATCCCCCTGGGAGCCGGCTGCAGCTTGGGGGGGGGGTACCGGGACCCCCTCCCAAAAAAAAAAAAACCCTTCCCCTTCCCGGACCCCATGTCAATAAACTTGTTGTTCGGCCGCTGCTGCAGCCTTTCAAGAGGGACAAAGAAAATTGTTTCCAGGGCAACTGGAGGCTCTTGGCAGCGGGCACCTGCTCACACATCACCCACACCCCCCCCACACCCCCCCAAACCCGGGGGGGGGCTCCCCCCGTGGCTGTCCCCATGGCCACGCTTGTCCCCCCAGCCCCAAAAACAAAATTTGGGGGTGCCCTGGGTGTGTTTTAGCCCTTGGCATCGCCGCTTTGTATTTTTTGGGGCTGTTTCATGCCTAGAAAAGTGTCGGGGGGGGGGGTTGGAAATTGGGGGGGGGGGGCATTGAGAGCGGTTTGTGGGGTCGGGGGCTCAGCCCCCAGTTTAGGGGCAGGCGCTCCCCAGGCTCTGAAATTGGGATGCTGCTGTCCCCGGGGGGGAGGGGGGGGGTTGGCACCCATGGGTGGGCTCCCCAGGGGTCAGCTTGTCCCTGTCCCCCCCCCCCACCCCAGGGGAGTCGGTGGAGGGGGTGAGCGCCCAGGACGTGCTCCTGATCCACTCCTGCCGCCAGTGGACGACGGTGACGGCCCACAGCCTGGAGGAAGGGCACTACGTCATCGGCCCCAAAATCGACATCCCCCTGCAGTACCCAGGTGGGGACACGGGGCCGCGAGGGGGAAGGGGGGCAGGGATGGGATGGGGATGGGATGGGATGGGATTGGGGATGGGATGGGGATATGGGATGGGATGGGATGGGATGGGATGGGATGGGATGGGATGGGAGGGGATGGAGACTGGGACATGGATGGGGATGGGGATGGGATGCAGAAGGGAATGGAGACAGGGATGGGATGGAATAGGGATGGGATGAGGATGGGGATGGGATGGGATGGGATGGGATGGGATGGGATGGGATGGGATGGGATGGGATGGGGACTGAGATGGGGACAGGGATGGGATGGGGACTGGGATGGGATGGAATAGGGATGGGGATGGAGATGGATGGACTGGGCTGGGCTTGGGATGGGTTGGGGACAGGGATGGGATGGAATAGGGATGGGGATGGAGACAGGGATGGGATGGGGACTGGAATGGGGACAGGGATGGGATGGAATGGAATAGGAATGGGGATTGAGACAGGGATGGGATGGGATGGGGATATGGGATGGAGATGGGGTTTGGGATGGGATGGGATGGGGATGGAGACAGGCATAGGATGGGATGGGGATGGGGATATGGGATGGGATGGGGACAGGGCTGCAGATGACGATGAGGATGGGGATGGAGACAGGGATGGGTTGGGATGTGGACAGGGACAGGGATGGTTTTGGGACTGGTAAGGATCGGGGACGGGACGGGGACGGGGACAGGGACAGGGACAGGGACAGGGACAGGGACGAGCCGGGGCTGCTGCAGCATCTGAAGGTGCTGAGCTCACCGCGGCCGCCGTACCAAGAGCCTTAACGACCTCTCTAAGTGCTCGCCGTGGCGGCAACGAGTCCTGCTAATAAATAAATCATGGGAAAGGCAGCGGGGGAAGGGCAGAGCGCCCATCCCAAGGGGGTCAGGGCATTGGGGTAGGGGGGGGCACACAGTGTGTTAACCCCCCTCGCTGGGGGCACAGGGCAGCTCCTGCCCCGGTCCCTTGTCCCTTTGCTCGGGCTCCGTGTCCCCGTCCTCCCCCAGCTTTTTGTGTCCCCTCCGAGCTGGCCCGAGCCGAGTTAATATTCCCATCAGGTCCCGTCCCCGCCACGCTGGTGCTAATGAAGGCAGAGCTCTGCTCCTGAATGCAGCCCTACAGCTCCCGGGCTGTGCCTGCCCCCCCCTACACCGCTGTCTGTAGGGTTTGGGGGGGCAGGAAGCCTTCAATACCCATCCTTAGGGCATTTTTGGGGTTGTTTTGGGGCGTTTTCTGCCCCTATGTTGGGTGCTGCAGGGAATTGGGGCACTTGGTGCCCCCCGGGGGGTTGTGATTTGGGAGGGGATGAACCCAAATGGGATGGGGACTCCAGGCTGGGCTCATCAGCAGCCACCCCAATGAACGGTGCCAGGGCTTGGGGGGGGTCTCCCCGTGGTCCCTTCTGACCTCCCCGGGGCTGGGTGTCCCCCCGCAGGGAAGTTCAAGCTGCTGGACCAGGACCGGGACATCCGCGAGCCCGTGCAATATTTCAACAGCGTGGAGGAGGTGGCCAGCATCTTCCCCGACCGCGTCTTCGTCATGGAGGCCATCACCTTCAGCGTGAAGGTTGGCGTGGGGGCTGTGGGGTGGTGGTGGGGGGACAGCAGGGAGTGGTAGGGGGACATTGGGGGCATCGGGGGACCGTGGTGGGGAAGCAGCCAAACATCAGGGAGTGGTGGTGGGACATGAGGAGGTGGTGGTAGGACACAAGGAGGTGACAGTGGGACACCAGGAGGTGGTGATGGGACATGAGGAGGAGGTGATGGGACACCAGGCGATGGTGATGGAACATCAGGAGATGGTGGTGGGACATTGGGGGTGGTGGTGAGACATCAGGAGGTGATGGTGGAACACCAGGAGGAGGTGGTGGGACATTGGGGGGTGGTGATGGGACACCAGGAGGTGGCAGTGGGACATCAGGAGGTGGTGGTGGGACATCACAGAGTGATGGTAGGACACCAGGATATGGTGGTGGGACATCAGGAAGAGGTGATGGGACATTGGGAGATGGTGATGGGACATCAGAAGGTGGCAGTGGGACATTAAGAGGTGGCAGTGGGACACCAGGAGGTGGTGGTGGGACATTGGGGGGTGGCGGTGGGACACCAGGAGGTGGCGATGGGACATCAGGAGATGGTGATGGGACACCAGGAGATGATGGTGGGACATTGGGGGGTGGTGGTGGGACACCAGGAGGTGGTGGTGGGACAACAAGAGGAGGTGATGGGACATGAGGAGGTGATGGTGGGACACCAGGAGGTGGTGGTGGGACATCAGGAGGTGATGGTAGGACATTAGGAGGTGGCAGTGAGACACCAGGAGATGGTGATGGGACACCAGGAGGTGGTGGTGAGACACCAGGAGATGGTGATGGGACATCACAGGGTGCTGGTAGAACACTACAGGATGGTGGTGGGACCTCAAGACCTCAGCGCTGGTGGTGGGAGGCAAGGGGAAAGCAGCAGGACACCAGGGGACGGCGACGGGGCTCTGGGCGCCCCAGCCCCTCAGCTGGTGGCTGTGTCCCCATGCAGGTGGTGTCGGGGGAGTTCAGCGAGGACAGCGAGGTGTACAACTTCACGCTGCACGCCGGGGACGAGCTGACCCTGATGGGCCAAGCCGAGATCCTGTGCGCCAAGACGGTGAAGGAGAAGTCGCGCTTCACCACCCTGCTGCGGAAACTGGGCAAGGCGGCGGCGGCGGCGCCGTCGTCGTCATTGTCATCGTCGTCGTCATCGTCGGGGGGGGCCAAGCAGGTGAAGGGCAAAATGCCCTGCCTGATCTGCGTCAACCACCGCACCAACGAGAGCCTCAGCCTGCCCTTCCAGTGCAAGGGCCGCTTCAGCACCCGCAGCCCCCTGGAGCTGCGGCTGCAGGAGGGCGAGCACACCATCCGCAGCATCATCGAGAAGGTGCGGCTCCCCGTCAACGTGGCCGTGCCCAGCCGCCCGGCCCGCAACCCCTACGACCTGCACGCCATCCGCGAGGGGCACTGCTACAAGCTGGTCAGCATCATCTCCAAGACGGTGGTGCTGTGCTGCATCCTCCGCCGGGACCAGTTGGTGCCTTTCCATTTCCTCCTCTTGGCCGACATGCCGCGTTTCCAGCTCCCCGAGGGGCTCCTCGGGGGGGACCCCCAGCTGGAGAAGCTGCTGCGGGACAGCGCCGCGTACTGCCACGAGCGCTTCAACCCCGACGAGTACTCGCGGGCGGTGCGCGAGGCCAAGCCCGATTTTTCGGAGGAGTGCGCCAGCCCCCGGCGCTTGCGGCTCTGCCTGCCGAGCTGCGCCCGCGAGGAGCTCAGCCAGCCCCTGCAGCGCCTCTCGCTCTGCTTCTACGGTGGGGGTCACCCCGCGCCCCCCAGGATGTGGCCACCCGCTGCCAGGACCCCACACCGGGGGTTGGTACGGGGACGCCGCGCCAGCAGCCCGATTTCGCCGACCCCGAGAGGGAGTACATGACGCCCGACTGGGCCGAGCCCGAATTCAGGACTCAGGAGCCGCTGGAGATCCCCTACGAGGAGCTCTGGAGCAACCAGGGCTTGGAGAGCTTCCCCTCGGCCGGTGGCACGGGGCGCCCCGACCTCGTCGCCGCCTTTGGGGCCGCGTCCCCGTTGGGCTCCCCGCGCCGCCCCGGTGTGCCCAGGGAGGAGCCCCTGGGGGATGCGCCACCCCCGGTGCCACCCAAATCGGAGGCGGTAAGAGCTGTGGGGTGCCCCCGGGACTGGGGGGGACCCAGCGGTGTCTCCATGCTGGGAGCATGGGGGGCACCCACCGTGACCTGCTGTGCCACAGGGTGTGGGGCTCCTTGCCACCCAAATCCTCTGCGCCCCCCCCCCGTGCCATGGGGAACCCCGCTCCCAGCATCTTCCCAGCCCCGTTGCTCACCAGAGCCTCGTGGCTTGGTCGGGACCAGTTGGAAAACTGGGAGCCACTGGGGCTGGGCCCCCATTTCTGCTCCTCTCCCCCCCCCCTGCACCACTGGTTGGGGGGTCCCGGGGCAGTGTTGGCCCCACCACCGGGGTCCTGACGGCGCTCACCCCATTGCAGGTGAAGGAGGAGTGCCGGCTGCTGAACGCAGCCCCCCGTGCCACCCCGGGGCGGCCGCCCCCCAGCCCCCCGCAGCCCCCCAGCCCCCCTGCGCTTCCCAAAGCTGGCTCCTGCTCCCTCGCCCAGCCCCAGCCTCTCCTACTACTCCTCGGGGCTCCACGACGGGTGAGTGGCTCGGGGTCATGGGATAACCCCCCCCGGGGCGGGATGTCCCCCGCACCACGATTTTTTTTTTGGGGAGGGGGACACGGCACGGCCCTTGGGGTGACGCTCACCTTCCTCCATCAGGTCGGTCCCGCGGAGTGGCAGTGGCTCACCCTCACCCTGACGCCTACTCCCTGTACTGCTACCCCTGCGCCTGGGGCGACTGCAAAGCCGGGGACCCCCCCGGCCGCCCGCTGCCCCCCGCCACCCAGCCCGGCCCCAGCGCTTGGTCGGACCCCTGGGCCTACGCCGAGGCAGGGGCTGGGGGGGGCAGCGGCCGCTCCACCCCGCTACCAGCAGCCGAGCCCCCCCTGAAACCCTTCCGCAGCTGCCCCCGCCTCAAGCCCCCGCACCCCCAAAAACGCTTCGCACCCTTCGGGGCGCTCAACCCCTTCGCTGGCCCGGCCGAGTGGCCGGAGAGCCCGGAGTGGCCCAAGCCTGCCTTCGGCTCCATCTGCTCCCTCTTCCTCCTCCTCACCCGAACCCTTCGCCCCCTTCGAGGGCTGGATCCTGCAGGCCCCCCCCCGGCCCCCCAAAGGTTTTGAGGGGGACAGCATCGTCATCCGCGGGGCGGCCCCGCTGTCACCCGCCTGTCCTGCGTGGGGCCGAAGGCGGCGTCGCCCGGCTCTACCTGGCGCAGGGCGTCATCGAGGTGCCACCGGCGGCTGCGCGGGGCGAAGGGGGGGCCCCGCCGGCTGCCCCCCGTCCCAGCGGGGACGGCTCGCCCTGGCTGCCCCCCGCCGACCTCTCGGCCTTGTCGGTGGAGGAGGTGTCCAAGTGCCTGCGCTTCATCGGCCTCTCCGAGGACGTCGTCAGCTTCTTCGCCCGGGAGCGCATCGACGGCAGCATCTTCGTGCAGCTGAGCGAGGAGATCCTGGCCGACGATTTCCGCCTCACCAAGCTCCAGGTGAAGAAAATCATGCAGTTCATCAAGGGCTGGCGCCCCAAAATCTAGCCGGGTGATGGGGGCACCCCCCCAAAGCCCCAGCCACGCAGTGCCTCTCCCCGCTTACGGCTGCGGGGTTCCCTCCTCCTCCCCAGGAGCTCAGCCCCGCTGCCGGGGGCTCCCCCCCCCCCCCTTTCTGTTTTAACACTGGACAGTAATTTTGGCCTCACCAGGCTGGAAAATGTCGGAGTTTGCATTGACTGCTTTAACTTAATCCTTGTGGATTAGTGTAATAAACAGACGGGAGAGAACAAGCTGCCGGAGAAGCCCCTTATTGGGGGAGGAGGGGGACAGAGGCTTGAGGGGGGGGTGCACGGAGGTGCAGGGAGCAGGGGGAAGCTCCCTCCCCAGCTCCTGGGCTGTGCAGGGAAAGCAGAGCTGGTCCAGGAAAGGCTCAGAGTCCAGGAGCACAGCTCAGAGCAGGGATCGGGTCCTGGGGGCCGCTGCCTCCCCCCCGGGAAGGGCTGAAGGCCGCTCGCCAGCCCTGCAAGCAGGCAGCCGCCCCCCCCAGGCTGAGAGGATGCCTCGGCCAAGTTTTGCGCTGCTGGCTTTGAGAAATGAGCACAAACCCAACAAACCCAACGTGGAAAGAGCAGCGTCGCCCTGCGAGCACCCTGCTGGTGTTTGGGGCCGGGCAGGGCAGCGCAGCGATGCAGGGGGGATTCGGGGCCGGGGTTGGCTCTGAAATTAGCGACAGGTGCGCGGAGATTTAAAGCCTTTTAGTTTAAATTGAGCTCTCCCCACGGGGGGAACCCTTCTGGCCTTTGGCTGCTTGATTTGCAATTACAGGCGGGTCCATCTGCCAGGATAACCCCGGCGGCAGCGCTCGGGGCCAGACAAAAGAGCCGGAGGCTCCTCGCAGGCACTGATTGATGGCGGAGGTGACAGAGCAGGGCTTTGTTCTGCTCTGCCGCCCTCCCCTGCCTCTCTCTCCCCACCAGCGCGTCCCCCCCACCCTTTGTCAAGTCTCACAGCTCAGCAGGCTGCCAGCAAAGCGTGGGCGGCCCCCCCGACACACCGAGAGGACCCTGGAGGATTGCCTGAACGCTTTATTTCCACCCCGAGCGGTTCCGTCCCTCGGTGCCAAAAGCGGCTGCGCCCCAGCGAAGACAGGATGAGAAGCAGGCACTTGGAGTCCGAACCCGGGAGACGGGGATTTATTGGTGCTGTATGGAAAAGGCGAGGCCGCAGGGCCAGCCGTGTGGATGCTGCTGCCTGCCAGGCCCCAGGAGCACTGGTGGGTGCGATACGAAAGCCGACACAGCAGCAATGCTCTCTGGCGTGTCAGCGAGCAGCCACCAGGCCCACGCCGGCCCAGGACGGATGTGCCCGACACACGGTAGCTGATTTAAGGCACTTGAAATGACTGCAAGCCACAAGGCCATCATCTGCTGCCACCCTCCTTCCTCTTCCCTGCCTCCCCCCCGGGTGCTTTGCAGATTAACCTATAGAGAATGGGGTGTTGCTGGAGCGCCGCTGCCCCCGGCTCAGGCTGTCGGTGCGTCCTGGGGCCACTGCTCACTGGTGGAATTTCTTGCCCGGGCTGTTGGCGTAGTCCAGCAGCAGCTGGCAGGGTGTGAACTGGCTGCCGTAGACGGCCTCGTACTTCCGCAGCTTGTCCACCAGCTGCTTGGCTCCGTAGGAGTCTGCGTACCTGAAGGGACCTGCAGGGGACAGGGGGAAACAGGGACGGGTGGTAAAGAAGGGAAAAACACCACACCAAGGCTCCCAGAAGGGTGACAGCACTGGGTAGGGCAGATCTGTCCTCCAGAAGAGCGCCCCGGCTGCTGACACGTGCAGCCAGCACCCCGACCTTCCCACGTGTGAGCCCAGCTCGGAGGGGAAGAGAAAGATGCTGCCACCTTTGTGCCTTGTGTCAGCCCTCGCTGGTGCTTTTGCTTGGGCTGAAATGGCCATCCTAAAACTGGCAGCAAAGCTGTGAGGGTCCCTGCATGACACAGAATACGCTGGGGGTACTGCAGGCTGGGACAAATTATTTTCATTCCTCTCCCAATTTGAGCTTGCTGCAAGGAGGGAATCACCAGGGACCCAGCAGAAGCACTGCCACGTGGCTGAGAGCTCTCGCTAGCTTTGAGTTGTGACCCAAGCCTCAGCTCATGCCTTGCCCAGTGCCCCGGCCATGGCCACGACATTTCCAGAAGTGCTGCAAGAAGCCTGCCTGCCTGCCCAGGCCAGTCACGGTGGCAAGAGAGGAGAGACGTGGTTGGATCAGACGATCCTGAAGGTATTTACCAACCTTAACGATTCTAGGATTCTGTACCAGAGCCTCATGATTCACTGAAGGCCAGACAGCTGCACAAAAGCCAGGGACTTAAAAACGTAGGACCTTTGCAAATCTCCCAGTTGACTGCCCCCATGACTATCGGGCAGAAAAGCTTTCTTTTGAGTGATGGAAAATGCTGATGAGGCTGGGGCCAGCATGGCTCTGCCTTCTTACTCAAACCTGAGGACAGCAAGCGGCCTGGTTCCTGTCCCCTGACCCTCACCACCTCTGTGAAACAGCTGTACCAGCAAAGGAACTCCTCAGGGCCCTGGAAGAAATGCCCTGCACTCCGTTAAGCAGCTCTCAGGCCCTTTGCAAGCTCTCGGGTGGGAATGCTGAAGCAACCTCCCTGGCTCAGGCTTCACATGGGAGAGGAACACTCATGCAGCAGCTCAGACCTGGCCTCAGAACCCACCAGAAAAGCCCACGATGGAGTTTTCGAGTCAAATCAGGCTGGCCTCGCCCCCTGCAGCTCCCACACTCACCTCCCAGGCACGGCGGGAAGCCCAGGCCAAACACAGCACCAATGTCTCCCTCCACGGGGTTGCTGAGGATCCCTTCCTGCAGGCACATGGCTGCCTCGTTCACAAACCTCGTCACCAGGCGCATCTGGATGTCCTCCTCGGTGCAGCTACCAGGAAAAAAAGAGTCTGCAAGGGCTGTGCAGCTTACCCAGCGGCTGGATGGAGGGGTACGTGAGACCAGCAGAGGTGGAGGGCAGGGATCAGGCCTTGAGGGGGGTGAGGAACTCATTGGAAAGGTCCCCAGCCTTGTGAGGGTAAGGGCTGCCAAGTTCTGTGCTGTGACTCCAGGCAGGCACGCAAGGATGGGCAAGGAGTCCATCTGGCTGGATGGGAACTGCTCCAGGAGATATTTCAGCATCAGGCTGTGCAGCAGCTCTGCCCCGTGAAGGTCAGGGCTAGCACGAGCTCCCCAGAGCCACCAGCCTGCCCCCTGCACGCTGCTTGGGGACCCAAATGCCACCTGGGGTGACTCCACGCTCAACGGTGTCCTGCTGGGCTCCCGGAGCTGGGAGGAGCTGGGCAGGGGCTGAGCCATCACAGGTACTTACACTTCAGGCTTGGCTGGCACCTTGAACCGTGCCAAGATCTCATCCATGCCAGAATTCACGCTCCTGTTCTTCACCCCCTCCTGGTAAACGTAAAAGCCCTTCCCTGCCTTGCGGCCTGCCAGGGGAAAAAAAAAAACAAAAACAGAGTCACATCCTGCCACGTGTCTCCTACTTTGGTGACACCTTTGCCTCTGATCTCGTGGCTGCCCCTTCTGTTAGCCTGAGCCATCCTCCCAGCACAGGCAGCTTCCCTGCACTTCATTTCCTGCCTCGTGGAGCAGGGAGGGAAGGGCCCACATCCAGCTGGCTTCTCGGCAAAACGCTGCCGCCTGTGCCAGGCCCCAGCGCCTTCGCTGGGTCCAGGAGGACAGTCAATGTCACAACTCGTGGTTACAGCAGCAAAAAGACACAGCCTTCGGCCGTGGGAGCAAGGGAGAGAGATGACAACATCCAAGTAATCCTCGATGCCTCACCTAAGAAGCCTTTCTCCACCATGAGTTTGAACAACTCAATGCTGCCGCCTCCAAAGCGCTCGCCGAAGGCCTTGCCGAGGTCCTCGGCCACGTGCGTGGCCACGTCCACACCCACCTCGTCGATCAGCGTGGCAGCGCCCACCGGGAAGCCGAAGGCCGTCGAGATGGCATCTATCTTCTTTGGGTCAGTGCCCTCCTGCAGGAACAGAAGGGGGAGCAGTGAGATCTCTGGGTCCTGGGAACCCAGCACAGGGGACAGAAAGGTTCATCGGGGGCTGCAGGAGGTGACCAGCCCCGCTGGCTGCTTGAGAACAGGCAGGAGCAGCGTGGCTGTGCTTGCAGCACTCCTGACTCTCCCCTGGCACTATGCAGAGGGCAAACCCACTTGCTCGTGGTCCACCTGCCACTGCGTGCTGTGCCAAGCCCTGATGAGGACGGCCTGACTCCTAGACCAAATCTAGATCCAGTACCACAACAGTGAGAAGCAGTGAGAAGACAGCCACTCTGCAGGTGTAACTTACACCAGCATTTCCACGAGCTGCCTCAGCTGCACCCTCAGGCTGCTTCCTCACCCACTTCCCTCCTTGGCCAGGGCTTGGGCCAGCCTGGCTCGGGGCAAGGAAGCAGCAGAGCTGGGGGACACTCAGTAGTCCACGGGATACACACCTGGAGAACTCGGACCACTTCTGCCAGCATCGGCCCCAGGCACCTGGTGGTGTAGAAACCAGGTCCATCCTAGGGGAGAAGAGCGAGACAGGAGGCAGGTGAGAATAAGCTGCAGGAACACAGCCCCTGTCAGCATCACAAGAACCGAGTTTCACAGCCCAGGCTGCAGTTCAGACACATTCAACTCCATTTTTAATGGTGTGCAGTCAACTCCTAGAACAGCTTTTACCTGTAGGGCTCAGCAGTGTTTGAAGACTTAAGAATTTCTGCCTGGAAATCCCCATGAGAGTGCTTTTATTTCAAATAGTGCCTGGAGGACCCAAGCAGGCGGCAGAAGACCCCTGGCTTCACCAAGCCCAACAGGCTGACAGGGTGAAAGGGTGCTTGGATATCACAGCTGTTTGTTCTCAGCCCCTGCCTCTCTTCTCCCTCTGCTTTGCACAACTCTTCCTCTACATTTGCACACATATTTGTATCCTCCCCCTTGCACAAGATTTAAATCCAGAAAGGGGATAGTTACTGCTCCCAGGCCCCTCTGTCCTTGCATTTCCCCTGGAAGAAGAGCCGGTGGGAGTCCTGCCAAGGCTGTTCCATCTTGGATGCCACTACAGACTGCAGCCTCCTGAAAGCTGCTTAGAGCAGGGACACCAGCACCTGTGCCTTCTGACCCTTCATGGCTGCTCCAGGGGACACCTGAAGGATCACCTGGGCACCTGCCCTCTTCTAATCTCCGTTTCTACTTCTCAGCATGAAGTAGTAACACTAATTCTCAGCTAATTCCATCTCATCATCCAAGTTTCAGCCTCCTCTCAGCGCACAAGCCCACCCTTTCACTGATTATCCCAGCCTGCATTTTGTGCAGCGTTCCCTCACCTTTACCACGATGACGACCTTGCCCTGTTTGAGGCCAACAGCGACAGCAGAGGCAGCCGTGTCCTGGGACGTTTTGTCCGTGGTGATGATTTCCAGCAGCTGCATTTTGTCAACGGGGGAGAAGTAGTGCATCCCGATCACCTAGGCAGAAGAAGAGCTCAGGGTTAAGACAGATTCTGGTTCCCCCAGTAAACTACTGGGAAAACCAAGTCCCAGCTGCAGAAGGGAGCAGGCCAGCACGGGCTGCAGGACCCACCACCATACTGCACTGATTTCAGGCCACGTACTCCACTGCATCCCTCTCCAACTTCTCCTTTCTCTCCTTGGCTTTCCCAAGGAAGCAGCCCCTGTCCCACAGCTCTTGTTGAGCAGAATCTCTGTGCTCTGCTTGTATTTTTTTTTTTCTGGGGGGGTGATGAAGTGAATCTAAGGACAAGAAGGCATGTTTCCAGAACCTAATTACAGAGGGAAGCACAGTCTCCCTCTGGGAGCAACATTTAAGAGGAGATTATTCGTCTGTGTGCCTCATCCTGCCACCACAGCCATGTAATCAGGATGTCACCTTCGTGCCTCCTGGAAGCTACACTTGGCACTAAGTTCTGCACAACTCAGAGGCACCTTGAAGGATATCTACAGTCTGCAAAACTAATTAAAGAAAATACATTAATTAGTTAACCGATTTCCTATTAGTTTCCCCATGAAGAGTCATTACACAGGCAATTTATTCAGCAAGAGGATGTTATTTGCAAGCATGAACAAGTAAGACACAATTTGCATTTCTGATGCAACTGAGGCCTGAAGAGCCACGCAGGAAGAGGCTCTCCAGGGTCACAGGAACCTCCAGCAGCAGGGAGGCACAGCGGTACACGACTTGTGCTGTAAGACAAGCAGCAGGGGCAAGGCACTGCCCTGGGCAGCTCTGAGACCCTCGTAGGAGTTCAGGAAACCAGCCACGGGCACTTCTGCCTTTGTATTTGTGTCATCATCCTCCCCAGATGAGCTCTAGAGCTTCCCTTTCCTTGGGGGCTACTGTCTTCACATTCCACTTATCTCAGAGAACCTGGCTCTTGCCATGGTGTTATGACCCTGCAGGGGAACTGCTTGCTCCTCCCTGTGTTTTCTGCAGCCCCACGTGGGCAGAGCAAACGCCTCAAGTAAGGGGAAAACACTTCTCCCTTTTGATATCAACGCCACCCTAGACTGAGGCTGAGCCCACAGGAGGTGACTCCACCTGGTTACAGGTTCCTCACGCTCCTTCAGATGCTGCCGTGTCACTGCCACGTCTGCTCTGCTGCTGCTGCTCCTTCCTGAAGGGTGCAGGTCTCCTGCAGGGCCGGCCTCAGATCTGCCAGGCTCGTGCTAACAGAACCACAGGTACCCTTGGAAATCAAAGCAGTGCATTCACACACCTCAGAGCCTGGCTTTCCAGAGATGGGGCATCCACAGCTTCTGTGGGCAGCCTGTTCAGTGCCTCGCCACTCTCATAGCAAAGAATTTCCTCCTTAGATTGACTCTAAATCTCCCCTCTTTTAGTTAAAAGCCATTCCCCCTTGTCCCAGCCCTACACTCCCTGATAAAGAGCCCCTCCCCAGCTCCTACCTGGCTGCACTTGCCTGGGCTAAGGGATGAGGATGCAGCTGTTGTATGGATACAGCTGTTTAGACTTCAAGCAAACAGACGAAGTCCTGTTCCAAACGCTCTGCTACAAGCTGTATCGCTGCACTCAGTGCCCTGTTCACATGGACAACCAGACAGAAAACCCCCCACGCCCCTCAGGAGTTTGATTCTATGGCTGACCATGGCTTCAGTTTCAGCACTACGTCTAACCACCTTACCAAAATGACTGAAGTCTCCCTGGCTGGAATTTTCTCAGCTCGAGTCCTTCCATAGCTTCTCTGCCCCGTGTGCATCGATGTTTCCTGAAGCACGCTGACCTCCCTAACGCACACTGCCTCGCCAATGTCACACTTGATGGGAATCCACCTTCATCCCCTTCCTACCTGCCCAAAGATCACAAGCTCTTTGTTCAAAGCTGGCTCTGGGGGCAGAGGCTGAGCTGTTTCCTGTTCTGAGGAAGAAGCAGAAGATCCCAATGCTCACCTACAGCAAACCATTTTGCCACTAACAGGCAGCTCGGCACACTCAAGCTCTTTGGCACCAGGTACTCACCTTCTCTGGCCTCTTGCTAACAGCAGCAATTTGGTTGATCGGGAGGGCGGACGTGTTACTGGCGAAGATACAGTGAGGAGGGATCACCTGTGGTAAGGGGTGGAAGAGGCAGTTTAGAGGCACAGGCTCCAGTCGGAGGTGATGTACAGAACCTGAGAGCAGTGCTAGCACAGGGCATTCCCAGCAGATCTCTGTCAGAGCAGTGTTAGAAATTGATCCTAAAGCAGCAGCCCAAGTCAGAGGCAGCAAGCCAGGGACAGCAGGTACAGGATATGTTGTGGAGATACATTTTTGTCATATCACTGTGCTCAGAAAAATTGATTTTTTTTCTGGGTGGCTCCCAGGAGTCAGGGAGTGTTGGAAGTGCCTCTGTTCAGCTAAGAACTAACAGCTCCTTAATCACAGGACAGGAAAGCTGCCCTGGATGCTCACCCATGTACTGAAATGAATAATTTGCACCAAGCATCAAACTACTGCATAAGGAAATGTGAGAAACCCAGTGGGACACCCCGAGTCTCCATCACACAGTGATCCTGTCTAGCATAGCTGACCAGAACTGCTACTCACGGCCTCCACTTCCTTCAGCACTTTGTGCTTGATGTTAATGTCCTCGAACACAGCCTCGATCACCATGTCTGCTTTATCGAAGCCCTTGTAGTCCAGCTGGCTCGTCATGTTGCTGAGAATAGAGTCCCTCTCAAATGATGTCAGACTCTTCTTCTTCACCTTGCCATTCAGCCTAGGGAAGAAATCTCTGTCAGAAGCCAGCCCAGACTGCTGGAGGAGCACCATAACACCAGGGCTATCCCTCCCTCCTGGAACAGGGACCCAAAACACCACCTGCAATTCAGCAGGACTATCACTGGCCCACCCTGCCATCTGGAAAAATGAGAGCCCTGTTCACACAACTCCGTTGGTGCATCAGTCTGAAGGTCAGTCACAGACATGAGCACTGTTACCTGCTGAGCCAAGGAGGCAGAGGAAAGAAAACGTCCAACTTTTCAGAAGTCTGACCCAACGCTTCCCCTGACATGGGCCTCTAGGCAGCCACAATTACTCCCTCCCCTTAGCTCTAAAAGCTACTGCTAAAACTAAAGATGAAGCAATCATCTGTGATTGTCTACCTACCTAAGGAGCTAGGGCTGAATACACTGCGCCTATTCCAGAACAATAGCCTGGCATACTGCACAGGGCAACCTTAAAGAACACTCCACAGAAACTATGGTGTCACGAGTTCCTGACTGCCTGCAAGCAAAAGATTATTTTGATGAAAGCTCCATCCCATCCCAAGTGAATTCCTGCAAACTCACGTACCCCTTGTAGACCTGCTGCTGTCCTCTGTCCAAGCCTTGCTGCGTCGTGTCCTTCAGAATGGTCTTCAGCCCCTTATCCACAGAAACCTGTGCAATCCCAGCTCCCATGAGCCCTGCTCCCAGCACTGCCAGGGTCCTGCACAGAAAGTGGTGAGGGGGGAGGACAGTCAGAGCTTGAAATAGCTGAATTGCCATTGTTGTCGTCAGACTCACACAGACCCTGTCCATCCAGGCACTATTTTTAGTGAGGTCACGCAAAAAGCTTCCATTTGTGGGTGGGACCTCCAAACTGCAGAGGATTAGCATTCCCAAGGCAGGAAATCTCTCTGCTCTGCTACGCTGCAGGACTCTAGGCCACAAAGTGCCAGGAATCTGTCAGCAGAGGTCCTCCAACTGCTCCTTCAGACACCTCACGCTCGTACTTACTTGACCTCTCGCTGAGGTGTTCCAAACTTGTTCTTCTTGCAGCGCACCTGCCCGTGGTAAAGTCCTATCAGTGCCTTGGATTCCTTCGTCATTGCGAGGTGGCCGAAGCTCTGAAAAAAGGGAAGGGGGAGGGAGACAGGTTGGCCTTTAACAGCTGTCACAGCTCCAGCACGCACAGATCAAAGATATGGCACAGGGACAGCACAGCCACCCGTGCAACTGCACAGACCAGGCATTTGGGTAGAAATGGAAGAAAAGTCCAGGGGTATGTGTGTCCTCTCTGCACAGGGGGCACCCTCTGTGCTAGGCACAGCCTGCTTTGCACTATTACCTCCCGGACATGGGCAGCCAGAAGCAGTGAAGAATTGTTCAACATCCTTTCCCATAAAAAAAATATAATTTAAAGCATCCATAAGAGTATAACACACTAACACACTGCAGTGTCTGCAGGGGTAGAGGTCTACCAGGGAACAAAAGTAGCCCTTGTATTTGTGTCCATCTCCTTCCCTCCCACTAACACACCCTTTGCTCATTTCCACTCGTCCTGGGACCCCCCAGCACAGCCCTGGGGAGGAGCACTCAGCGGCAGCTCCCTGCTGTGCTTGTCACCCAGAGGTGACCCTGCTGCCCCAGTCAACCAGCAGCTGTGGGGTCCTGCAGACCAAAGCAGGAGCCACTTCTGCTTCCCAGTGACAGGACCGCAGCTCACCGACATGGGACTAGAGTGAGGAGTGACCCTTCTCTCCCACGAGCATCCTGCTCTAGCCAGGGCCATCGCCCCACCTACTTCCAAGCGAAAGAACCCTGTACCCAAACTTTGTGAAAAGCTTTAAAACAGGCCAATTTTCACCAATAGCTCTGATGCTATTTTCAGAGGATCACGGAGAGGCTACGGAATTAAAGGCCTGCAAAACCTCTCAGCCTAAGGCATGAAATGGGAAAGAAGACAGGGAGATAAAAGACAGCATAGGGTGACAGCAAACTAATGATGCTGTCTGAGCCAAATCAGCTAGGAAAAGCCACTAATGTAATGTAGTGTAGAGCAGGCAGTATCTTCCTTCACTGCTGTCCTGTGAGTTAGAGGCTTGTTAAAACATCAGAAACATGAAGACCAGAAGAGAATCTGCAAGTTTCCTATCCTAGGGGAAGAAAGGAGGCATTAGAAAAGGCATGACACGGGCACTTATTCTTTAGGGGGTGCTGGTAAGATCTCCATCATGCTGCTGTTCTCAGGAAAAAAAAAAAAAATCATTCTTTTCTGCAAGGAACGGAGCATCCTGAGCCTCCCATTCAGCATCAGATCAAATGGGGGTGGAATGAAGAACTGGAACAGGCAGGGTATATCCAGGTCATTATTAAGGTAAGGGGCAGACAGCTGGATCATCACTGGATGAGAACAAAAGGATCTCCTAGACATGGCAAGAGAAACTGCTGGACCTGGCAGTGTGAGAAGCTGGTGAAGGCTGCAGACAGTGCTGAGAGATGGCTGGATTTCACTGGTGGCACAGAGGCAGTGATGGGACAGATGTCCCAAACAGATGAACAGACGGGAGTGTTGTGGATAACATGGGGATTTGGGTTGTGCAAAGCCAGCAGCGCTCAGGTAAGCACGTATCTCCTCTATCAGAAATACTGAGACTGAGTACCACTACAGCAAAATCAAGATCAAGAGGAAAAACTAATTAAGGACAAGTTGTTTATACAGAGGAGACAAGGGTAGAGAAAGGAAGGATCAAGATGCCTGGGGGAAGAACAAGCACTGGAAAATGAAGGGAATTAAAGGGTCACACATAAACAAGCCACTGGCCAGTATGCTGATCTGCTCAAGCTCTGCACCTACCCACTACGTCCTACCTCCATATAAAACTCGATTCCTATTTTTCTGCATGTCTCTCTAGTACCCTGAAAACTTCAAATAAGACTGGACAATGTTTAGGACATGAGGTCCTAGGTGCCCACAACTGGAGACAGGGGGCCTGAGGGGCCAGCGACTTGGTAGAACAAACTCCTACGGGCCAGCTACTGAAGCTGTGTGTGTGAGCACACATTTAGGACCACAACTGAAGCTCAACCTGGCCCAGCCAAACAGGAGGAACAGCCCTGACTGTCCCAGCTGCTCACGTCAGTGAACGGTTTGTGTGTCCGTGGGTGTCACCAGTACAGGCACTGTGCTGTCCACACACCAGCCGTGTGCATGCAACATGTTTGTGTGTGCTCATCATTGATATCTCTGCAACATCTGCCCAGCCTCCCACTAGCTAGACCCCATGAACAGAAAAAATCAGCAGAGAAAAAGCACCTCACCAAGAGATGAAACCTCACAGGCCTTAAAAAGCTAAAGATTTAACTTCCCTTAACAGTCCTTATTGGTCTTAAACTCAACCTATGTACCAGGGAACTACAGAACTGAGGGCAAAGGAAGAGCTACACAGAGGTTTGTTTCACAGAATCAAAGGAACACAGAACGGCTGAGGTCAGAAGAGACCTGTGGAGATTTCTTGTCCAACCCCACTGCTCAAAGCAGGGTCACCTGGAGCAGGCTGCTGAGTTCAGCTGGGTTTTGAATATTGCCACTGAGGGAGACTCCACAGCCTCCCTTGCCAACTTGTGCCAGCGTTGAGTCACTTTTACAAGTAACCAAGTTTTTTCTCCTGTTTAAGTTTAATGTCTCAGGTTTCAGGTTGTGTCCTTCACCTCCTATCCTGCCACTGGATACCACCAAGCAGAATGCAGCTCTGCCTTCCTCACTGCTTCCCTTCGGGTATTTATATACCCCCAAAAGATCCCCCTTGGCCCTCTCTTCTCCAGGCTGAAGAGTTCCAGCTCGCTCAGCCTCTCCTCACGTGTCAGATGCTCTAGGCCTTCAATCATTTTTGTGGCCCTGTGCTGGACTCAGTCCTGGCAGCTGCCCCTCTGCCTGTTCTGGTGCCTGGAGTTGTTCCTCCCATGGGGCAGGATTTGGCATTTCCTTAACACTTCCCTTCACGAGGTTCCTGTCTGCTCCATCCTCCAGCCTGTTGAGGGGTCCCCCCTGAATGGCCAGCACTAGCAAATACTCTGACTGCAGTGGTTACCAAATGGGTCAGTTCCACTGAGGGATAAGGAGAGAGAAATCCTGTTCTGGGTAAAAAAACACTGTGAAAAAAACAAAAACAAAAACCCAAAACCATCACCACCACAAAAACATCTAATTTTCATGAGTACTGAAAGTTACCTATCAGCAAAAAAGGGCCAGCACAAACTAGAAAACTGGAC